TTTTTTAGTTGTAGTTCATCAACTAACTATAATAACTCAAATTGAGGTTATTTTCATTAGTGAAAATTAACTTGTCATAGCCTGGAATGCTGCCTTACATGTACCATTGCATTTAAAAAATGTTATATGTACATGATTGTATTTAAATATGTTTCTTACTGTTAATTTGATGTATTTTCCCTAGATATTCTTTGAGACATTTAATGTTCCAGCCTTGTTCATATCCATGCAAGCAGTGCTTAGTTTGTAAGTAACAGTTACTCATTGAATGTAACATTATTATGTCTGCATACTGGAGAGAAGAGCGAATGTCATGGATCAAACTTCAAATGGCAGACAGTTAATTAGTTTAAAAATAAATGTTTTGAGTTCCCAGCAGTGGTGAAAAACTGGTTACAGACAAGCCTTCCGTAAATGGACACCCTTGGGACCAGACAAAGTGTCTGTGAGGTGTCTGCTTATGAAAGCTTAAAAATGCAGTGCTTGTATGTGGCTGGGACCATTACTTAGTGTCCACTGATAGGTGGTCACCGGTGTCTGCTTATGGAAGGTGTCTGTTAGTCGAAGTTCGACTGTATACCAATTGGATGCCTCAGCCAGGTATCTGGGAGGTGAATAATTTATTTTTGTTGTTTATAATTCACTTTCTTAAGCCACCATTATACTTTCTAAAGAGTTCTATAGATATGTTTACCACGACAATTTTAATACTCTCCAATGTGCATGTTTAACCTTGCATGGTCATACTAATAAACCAATTTCGATATATTAAAATTCAATCTAAAACAAAAGACCTCAGCATGAGGCTCTGGGGAATAAACCCCACAAACTCTGTAGTTATTTCCCAGAGCCTTGTGCTGAGGTCTATTGTTTTAAGCTTAATTTTAATATGTCAAAATTGGTCTGTTATTATAGTCTCATTGTTCTAGTGACACACTGGAGATTAGAGTACATATAGCCAGCGTGTGCTTGAGTGTTCTGTATTCTGAAGCTAAAGGAACTGCAAAATTATAATTCTGAGGCTAATGGAAACTACTGGTAGTAAGTTATAGATTAGCTACAAGCAGAGGAAAAAACAATGCACAAGTAGTACTTCTTTCCTGCACTGCTTGATTATGAAAATTTTAGTTTTGCATGGTAATGCCTATTGAATCATTTTCTGGTTTATCTTCAGATATGCATCTGGTCGAACTACAGGTGTGGTTTTAGATTCTGGCGATGGAGTGTCTCACTCAGTCCCAATCTATGAAGGCTTTGCTATGCCACACTCTATTATGAGGACAGATATTGCTGGCAGGTCAGTGACTGTAAGATTTCCTTGCATGTTTAATAATGAACATTTTACGTACTACTAAAAAATCTGTGTCAAAGGAGTCAAGGACAAGTCTGAATTTCAGTTTTGAATTGTGGGTGTTTTTAGAGAGAGGAAAAGTCTCCATACAATTGAGTGACACCCAGCAACAAATGCAAGGTCCCTTTTTGTTGTATTTTGATGTCAATGCTAAAAGCAAATCTGTACAGTTTTAGGGGGATGAATATGGGATGCCCAATATTACACCTTTCTTGCCTTCTTAAATTTTTTGTGGGTTGGTGGGATTCACTGTCCAAATTGTAAGCGGGAGGAGAAAAACTAAGTTGGTGACATTAGTTTTAAATGGGAGGTTTCTGGTTGTGAGAGATAAATGTTCAATTTCTGTTTTATTTGCTTCCCTGTCAACATAGTGCAATGGTTTCTTTTGAAATAAGAACTAATCCTGTGAGTTATTACAATAGGAAACTTGTTACTTCATTCATTTCTTAATTTTTTTAAACAGAGATGTAACAGCATATCTAAGATTGCTTTTAAGAAAAGAAGGCTTCAATTTCCATTCTTCATCAGAGCTGGAAATAGTGAGAACTATTAAAGAGGTGAGACAATAATTTTTAGGATTCTGAAAACTCATTTTGCAAAAAGTGTCCAGTTAGTACAGTCAAACCTGTATATAATGGCCCTGTATAAATTATAGCGGTCACCCTGTCTATAATGATCACTGAACAACTTCCCAAAAATCGTCCCTTATATTTACTGTTAAGTTGACCTGCATATAG